CAAATTCCACTGTAGTAATCTAGTTTTTGCCTGTAGATATAGTGCAGTTTAAAATTAATTTAGATATTTCAGTGCAGGAATATGGTTAAAAAGTCCTGCTGAGGATAGAATAGCTCATTTTTACATCACATTGGTATTTTTTTTACTTACTCCACTTTGTGTATGAAATGCAGCAGTCCATCAACAATGCAAAGACAGAGCTGGGAGATACAGTGCCACTGGATGAACTGGCATCCTGTCCAGNCAACAATGCAAAGACAGAGCTGGGAGATACAGTGCCACTGGATGAACTGGCATCCTGTCCAGTGCATAGGCCAGCCTTCTGCTTACTCCAATTATATGTTGGGTGGCAGCAGTAAAACTTACCGATCAGGGTGGGGGCAAGAGTCCTGTTGGCAAAATTCACAGATCGGGGGGGTATCATGCTGGCAAAATGAAGTTTATCTGTTCCATCTCTTGTTGTGGCCCTAGGCTATAGCTTCCTCGCTTATGGCTCGCTTATTCCTGAATTTTTTCATACACTCATTTAATAATTGTATTAAATTAATAAATCTATTAATTGGGACAGTATCAAGGACAAGGAAGATTTTGTCTTGTAATATTTGTCTTGTATCTTTGTGCCATTGTCTTGTTCTGTTAGGCTACTTTGTGCTGATTCGCTTGACAGTGAAACTACTGGTACCACTGGACTGCACTGTTATAAGAAAGTTAGGTAAAGTTTCAAAGTAGGAACATTCTATTATAGCCGAGACGGGGGGCAACTTTGTTTTTCCTGAAAACTGTTGCTAAAAATGCAGATAACAGACATGTTGCTATTATTTAAATGATCTTATTATCTTATATCCATAAATGACACCGAGTTTGCCTTGATCTCTGATTGGCCCTTCACTTGACCGTTGCCTGCCCTCATGCTCTACAGTAGAGAGACTGCCCCCTGGTGTCATCTGAACACAGCACCAGTGTGGCTTTCCAGTGTTTCAGAGCTAAACTGTATTGATAGAGCAGATGAGATTTATATATGAAATTATGCCACTATAAGTATTATTATTACTAATAATAAATCATAATAATGTATAAAAAATCTGGGACTGGAATAAAAAAACCAAAAATGCCAAAAGTCGTTTATTTATTTTTTTTAGACCACTTATGGTTAATGTTAGGGGTGGGTATTTAAGGTTGTCTTTGTTAGGATTAGGGTTTTTCCCACAGAAATGAATGGACAGTCCCCACAAAGATAGGAATACAAACGTGCATGCATGTGTTTGTGTGGATTAGGTATATATTACATTGTGGGGACCAAACATCCCCCACAATGTAATAAAAACCTACTATTTTGACATTGTGGGGACAATTTTTCAGGTCCCCACAAGGATTTGCGAACGCAATCAAAAAACTAAAAATGCCAAAAGTCTCATGTTTAAGGTTAGGGCTGGGTAGGGATTAAGGTCATCTTTGGAGTTTTCCCATAGAAATGAATGGAGAGTCCCCACAAAGATATAATTACAAACGTGTGTGTGTGTGTGTGTGTGTGTGATGGCATCCTGTCCAGGGTGTCCCCCTGCCCTGTGCCCTATACGTTCAGTATAACCTCCAAGCTCATTTTCACCCTGTGCTCAATACATGCTTATGGGAGAGGAAAGGAACGTAAAAAATAGAAACAAGGCTGACTGAAATGTGGCATTGTTCTGTATGTTCTGACATACGGAATCCTTAGTAGTTAAAAATTGTCCCATAGAGGTTGACACTCAGTCAGTGATTGCATGCAACATGGTTATGGTTACTGTCCATTGCAATCACAAGCTTGGGGACCAAAAAATCGGTACCCACAATGTTTTTTATCACTTTGCGGGGACTTTTGGTCACCACAGTGTAATATATACATAACACAGACACACACACACATACATTATGGGTAATGTAGTCATGTAGAAAAATCAGATTGGAACTACACAGGTCATGTGATCAGGGAGACCCAGCTGGTCAGAGGAAATCATTTCGGGGAGAGAAACAGCAGAAAAACCACGCCAGCAAAGAGCAGGAGCACTTTGAGCTGGATCTAAAACTTCATATGCTAAACCGTCCCTGGAAAGCAGTTACCATAGGATCACCAGGAAGATGTAACTGGATTTGTTAAACACTGAGAGCTTGTGTGAGCTTTTCTGTCTTTCCTTCTGAAGCGGAGATGGACTGGGTTGCTCACTTGGGGCTGGAGGGACCCCTAACATATGGGCAATTAAAGGACCACACACCTGAGAAAAGTGCTTGGTTTGTGTTTAGCATATTTATCATACAGCCGGTCATCAACTTTCAATCATTTAACCATCTGTGTGGCTTGGATTCTGCTTATCCTTATTAAATTATTAAAGGTAATGGCCAAATAAGATATTTCGCTTAAATGGCCAGTGCTAAGTCTTTGCAGAAATAATCTATACATGCCACTACTACACACATCAGCAAACATATTGTCAGTCAGGTTAACTCCCCTTAACTGGCTAATTGATTACATAATACGCAGTTCTTGTCAGAAGTTACTGACCATAAAGCCACCACAGATGAATGTGTGTGGTATGCCGGCATGACATCAGCGTTGAGTGACTCTGTTTCTCTAACTCAGCATTCGCTCCAAGATGCCGTGTGAGGGCCCATCTCTCAGTGCCAGGATCTGGGCCCAGGCCAAGTGGTTCTAAACCCTATTTAGGGGGGCTTCAGTCCCCCTATTTTTTGTCTCAACCCCCCTGAAAAATAGCTCTTCTAAAACCAGGTACCGATTTGTCCAGGACATTCATCTACTTTTCATTTGCATGACTTGGTAAACTTTACTGTGGTGATGCCCCTCCTCTCGGCGAAATTACTTCAGAGGGGGTGAAATCAGAGAATTGCCCCTACTCTCCATCCTGGCAGCATCATGATAACAGGACACAGTTCTGTGGCTTTAAATGCGATGCCTGCACCTTGCCAGAAGCCGAATCTGGAAGGATAATTTGTCACAAATGTTAATAACTGATCTTTTTGGTTTGTGTCTTTTGGCAGACAGTCTTGGACTTATTAAATGCTTAGATGTATTACACAGGAAAATGACAGGGCTCCAAAATTAATTTGGAATGCTGACCTCTTTCTGATGAGACACGTAAAGTAATGAGCAATGAGGTTTGGCCTGCTTCTGCAATTAACACTAATCTGTAACAAACAACAATTAATGACCTGCAATAAAGCAGCCAGATCAAGCAGGTGAATGGTCTGTAATTAAACACATCTGGAAAGATTGTTGTCCGTAATTTAAAATGTGTAGGAAGAAGCAGGCATAGTCTGTCTATCAATAAATCTGTATACTATGCTGTAAAGGTAGCCCACTGTCTATAATTAAATACCCGTAATATAACACAGACACAGCCCACCGTCTGTAATTAAATACCCATAACATGCTGTAAACAGAACCTGCCGTCTGTAATTAAATTCTTGTTCGTTTGCATCCTCCTCCCTCTCTCCAGATTTCCAGTTCAGCTTCCAGGTCTTGACCACTTCAGTATGGGGACCAGAACTGTGTTCATATGGATGACATTCCTCAGGTAGGTTCATATCGAGCATTTTATGTTATATTAATTCAAGTTTTCATTTGTCCATTAAATAATAATTGTAATTGAATGAATGGTCAAATGCTGTGGTATTGTAGGATGCCATCAACTTCTACTTTCAAATATGACCTGATCCAATTTTAGAAATAATCATCTTTATATTTTTTATATCGAAACATACTTCTACTTTTTTTACCTCTATTTGATCTGCTCACGACAGGATGCATCCTTTACTTGTAAATTTCAAACTTGTAGAAGGGGGTGTAAGACTGGCTGGCACTCTATAGGGGCACACGCTGCACACCCCAGTAAAACCAGTAAGGCGTGAGGTACTCCCATCTTTATGGCCCTGTCGCTGGATCCTGGATACATCTCGGCTCTGCCTCGCAAAACAATTTTTATATTACGTTATGGTACATTTTACCATTATAGGCAATAAGCATATCACCAGAACAAGGCTAGAGGTGATGTTCTCATCAGTATTATTACTCAATGATGGTTAATCTACAAGAATTTGCCTGTGAAACTGACAGAATTTCACCTGAGGCATAAACAAACATTAATCCTTAACTTACATGTTTAAGGATTTAAGGATTCCAAATGATTAATTGGCACCTTTTTTGCATGCTTATTTCAAAATTTGAGAATAGCAATATTATATACAACGTTCACGTCGGCGTAATTGTTTTGCCATTTATAAGAATAATGTTGCCACCTGCTGGTTATTCCGGGGTCCGTAACTTGTGTAGCGTAGCAAAACACTTTGCGTGGTGTAACATTGCTGTTGCATGGTAGAGATTTCATATCCAAGGGCCTTTCATTTGCCGATAAAATAGCCTGAATCCACACAGGTATAGGTGAAGAATGTACTACAAACTTAATAACATTTATTTCCTGACCACTATGCTAATTTTATTTAATTTTCCTCCACTCCTGGCTCTTCGTCGTTAGAGAATTGGATGGTGGGAAATTTGGAGAAAACCAAGAACGATTTTGCCAGCCCCTTCGAGGGGGCGTTCTATTGTAACACAGACCACAGGCTCATTCCACTACGATGTGTTAAGAAGCGCTACGGCGCATCTTTTCTAGTTGCTGCACATTTAAAAACATACCGATATGGGGCATTACTCTTTCATTATTTACAGTACCGTGCAAGTCTTAGGCAGACAAATCAAATTTTCATGGCTATTTATCTGTGTAGTAAATGTATATTTGCTCAGAAAAAAATTACCTTAGAACATATGCAAATTAACAGTAACACAATGAAAAATAAACAAGAATTTCTTCTGCTATCCAAAAAGTCACTGATATCTATTTGGATGGCTAGATGAACACAGTTTCAGTTCCCAAACCTTTCTGCATGGGCACCTCAGCAATTTCATGCATTTGTTACATTTCACCATCAGCTCACTTAATTAATTAACTTAGTTAAACAAAACTTGATGAGGTATTTATTATGCAAACGAGGTGGGGTAGTGGTCGAGTAATAAAATGCTTTGGTCTTTTGTATGGTTGCTGCAAATACCTGGATGATTTTAAGAGAGGTTTCGAAATGGCTAAGCTGACACACTTTGACAGACATAAAATCAGTTTTACATCAACATGAAGATCATTTAAACATTTTCTGACTGCCTGAAACATTAGCACAGTACTGTACATCACCTGAACACCCTTGACAATTTATATTTACACATTTATTCATTTTTGTGTTGTGTAATGTCTTGGCAGTTTGTCTTGAGTTAGGTAAATTAAAACATGTTATGTGTTTGAAATAAGAAGGTTTAAACAACTGAAGTCAAAGAGTGGCTGTCATAGAAGTTTCCATAGAAGTTAGGCTAATTGGCATTTCTTAATTTCCCGTAGAGTGTGTGTGTGTGTGTGTCTGTGTGTATATGTGTGTGCGTGCGTGCATGTGTGTGTGTCTGTGCTTGCGTGTGTGTGTGTGTGTGTGTCCGTCCTGCTAAAGACTGGCATCTTGTCTTGGGCGTACTTGTGTGCTGTTTAGCATAGGTTTCAGGTCTGGTAGCATAATTACATATTATGCAGTAAGTGGTTATGAAAAATCATTAGATAAATGTGCATACATTTTATTTCTGACTTGTAAAAAGGATAATGCTTCACATATTTTACATAAATATTAACTGTTTTTGTACTGCACAAAAAAAAACACGCCAGCTCATCACCCTAATATTGCTTGTATCACTGCCTCCTTGTGGACAACTAAGTCAATACATTTATGCTTTGTATTTTCATCATTACAGCAAAATTGTCTAATGATTATTTTATTACCAATAAAACTGGTTATATAAGGTGTATACTACTTTATGTTACAGATTATTTCATTTCCATGAAGCATAGTCCTGTACGGTCCTTAGCGCAGTAGCACTGCTGTGTCTGGAATGATTATCACTGTGGCCCTTTGGAAGGCTGTGGCTTGTGATCGTTCTCTGACATGGTGAAGGACTCAGTCATCTCCTCCACACAGGCTCAGGAGGGCCTTCTGGTAATCCCCTTTGGTGTGCTCCTGGAGGGACAAGGAAACACAAGGCACAGCTCGAAGGCGCGGTCACACTAGCGCTTCCCATTCACCTCCATTAGTAGAACATTCAGTTCCGGTAACTAAGCGAATTTGCACACCGTTTTCGCTCCATCTTCATTTAAATGAACTTTGACCTGTAAATTAACATTGTTTAACCAATCCAGCCCGACATTGTCCCCTCGGAGAAGAACGTCTTAGTGCTGTTATGACAAGAAATTACTCATGCATTTTACCGTTGATGGTCTGCATACCAGTTACGTCAGAACTATTAATAACACATCACTAGCTAGCATGCTAAATGTTTGATAAACGTGATAAATGTTGTATGATAAACGTTTATCAAAAATCAATGATTTAAAAAATTCACTACATGAAAATTCTGCAGTACACCATATTACCCATATCACACTCATTTTCGTTCGATTCTGCAAAGACACCTGATAATTTTCGCTCTAGTACCTTAAAATATGAGCTTCTAATTGTGTTACCAACTCTAACAGAAAGGGCATTCCCATTGATTTAAGATTTAGTCATTACAGCAACCTGTGGCCTTTCCATTAGGGTGAATTTAATCTCGGCCATGTCAGTGTTATAGCTGGCTGAGACCTGCTCTGGGATATGATACTTACAGTGATGGTCTGGTACAAAGACTTGCTGTGCTGCTTCTTGAACTCTGTGCGAATCTTCATGAGGTCTACTTCACAGCGTGACACCATGATGCGAGTCACCACCTTCTCCTTAGCTCCTTTGCTCTGTAGCAAGACAGACATTTGGTCTGGGATATTCGCAACGTGAAACCTGTGAGCTGCAGGCCAGGAGTGAGACAGAGACTGCCAGCAAACTGCCAGTGCTTACAAACATTTTAAAATGACCAGACCCATCTAACACCAAACAACAAGTTAAGAAAATAAACATACCACATACACTATATTGCCAAAAGTATTGGGACACCCCTCCATGTCATTGAATTCAGGTGTTATAATCTCTTCCATAGACACAGGTGTATAAAATCAAGCACCTAGGTATGCAGACTGTTTCTACAAACATTTATGGAAGAATGGGTCACTCTCAGGAGCTCATTGAATTCAAGCATGGTACCGTGATAGGATGCCACCTGTGCAATAAGTCCATTCATGAAATTTCCTCACTATTAAACATTCCACGGTTAAGGGTTAGATATTATAAGAAAGTGGAAGCAATTGGGAACAAGAGCAACTCAGCCATGAAGTGGTAGGCCACGTAAAATCACAGAGCGGGAACAATGCATGCTGAGGTGCACAGTGTGCAGAAGTCGCCAGCTGACTGCAAAGTCAATAGCTACAGACCTCCAAACTTTGTGTGGCCTTCAGATTAGATCAAGAACAATGCGTAGAGAACTTCATGGAATGGGTTTCCATGACCAAGCAACTGCATCCAAGCCTTACATAATCAAGTGCAATGCAAAGTGTCGGATGCAGTGGTGTAAAGCACACTGCCACAGGACTAGAGCAGTTGAAGATGTGTTCTCTGGAGTGACGATCACGCTTCTCTGTCTGGCAATCCGATTGACAAGTCTGGGTTTGGCAGTTGCCAGGAAAATGGTACTTGGGCACAAGTGCATGTGTGTGTAAAGGTAGATGTCCCAAAACTTTTGGCAATATAGTGTATATTAAATGTACCAATCAATTATTTAAATGACCTTAAAACCCCTTAAAGATCCAAAAGTTTTTGGGTTAAACAAGAACATAGAATGAAGGAAAGACCAGTTTCTCCATTGTGTATTTAGTAACAGACTTAGCTGAAAGTCTTCTAAGGTTGTCCATTAGCTCTGCAGCATATCACTCACCTTCATGGCTTCAGCAAGTCTGTTGGCGAAGTACAACTGTTTGTTTTCAAAACAGGCTACTGTAATGAGATACAGAGGGAAGTGTTAGTCCTCGGATACACTAATCTGTGTGGTTATTGTCCTAAGGCTATTTCTGTGTCTTTGTGCTCACAGAATTACTTTGGGAGTCTTTGAAATTAAACATTTAGTTTTTATTTCATATGCCACTACCCTTAACAGGAGTTGGTGATGTAGTAGTTACTACTAGCTATAGTGGAGCTTACAGCTTCATTCAACACTACTGAATGTGACTTTTGTTTAATAATAGTTTGCAGTGGTCAGCACAGCTAACTGAAAAGTTTAGTTCGAGAACATGCAAACCCCACATAGATTGAGGCTGGAGCCTTAGCCCCAGCGGTATGAGGTGACAGTTATAACCACTGCACCACCACAGTGCTCCCCAGTATAACCAAGACCAGGAATTCTTTGCAGCATCCACTGCATATAATCGTGGATTTCCCAGAGGAAAGGGGTGTTAAAAATACCAGCACTGCAAAATGAAATGTTAAGATGGCCATACCCAGTGTAAGGAAAGATTTTTCCAGGTCCCCTTTGACCTCCTTACAGATGCTTTCCTTCATGTCATAAGGGCTGTAGCTCTTGTATCTGTCAAACACTAGGTGGATGAGAGAAATAGTTATTTTATAATCAGCCGGTCAATCACAGGAGCTTCTCTCCTGAAAACAGGCGATTTGCTCAGATGGTATGTGGGACTAGGTCAGAGGTCTCCATGAGACGGACAACAGCTACACTCTCTGCATAACAAGTGTTTCTTCACGGGGCGAGTAAGCCATTTGAGATACCTTTGCAAAGGTGTGGGACACTTCTTTGGGACATGATGGTGATCCACGTAGCAACATCTGTTCCCTTCCTCTTAACACCTGCCTCATACAGCGCCTGGTCACAACAGAGCCCAGTGAGACCAACAATAGCTAGATACTGAGATGTTAGTCCAAAGACACACTGTAAATGTAACACAAAAATCAGGCCACACCGTGATTTGCACTCATAACCTTTCACTATTGTTTTCTACTATGAGGGCTCAAGCTGACATCATTCACTCATGCTGCCATCTTACTCTGGCATCCTGGTCAATCTTCACATAGTCCACAATATTGCTAGGCTCCTCCCTATTAGCCTGGAAGACACATGGAAGAAGCACGATGACAATACAATCAAGGGAGCAAGTTTATCTTATCCGCATTGATCTTGTCGTGTCTGAACTTACTTGTACTAAAGCCAGCAGCAGTTTACAAAAGTCTCCTGAGGTATCTCCAGCAATGTCCTTCTCTAGATCTTTCTTGAACACTGTAGAGACAGGGGTCGTTCAGATAATTTCTCAGCTTTGCCTTGTTCCTTTGAACGCACAAGGGCGCTATCAGACACAGAGCATAAAAAACGCTCCCTCACTTACTTTCTTTGTAGACGCGTTTAATTTCCACCAGCTCCTTATTACTGCGGGAGCACACCATCTCGATTAGGGTTTCTTCATCGGTTCCCAGTCCCTACCAAGGAATAAAACTTCATAAGCTATGTGGTTTGCAAAAATGCATAGCATATAATAACGAGTGCATAAAATAGCATGCATCACCTCCATATTTCTGATCAGGATAAAAGTATGCAGGGGAAATTCATAACAGGAAGCAGTAAATTTTTACACATTCATAAAAAAAAGCTAGCAGAGCTGGCTGATAAATCTTTGTGATGTCTTCATGTATTCATGGATGAGAGTGATTTTTTCCCATCCTTTTTATGTCAGTTGATAAATGAGTTTATTGAATAACCAAGTTGGGTTGTTGCTTGTATCTGCACTGCAGTCTGTTTATCAGGATATTTTAAACAAAGTCAGACATGAATCCCAGGACAGCTGCTGAGCCCAAGTCTATTGAGTGTGAGATTGTGGTGCCAATGTTTAAAGCAGCGAAAGAAGAAATACCCTACTGACCTTCATGGAGGCTTTGATTTCAGAGGCGTCGTACTGTGCCGTGCTTTTCATTAGACCCAGGATGAGTGTCTCCAGAGAGCCTTTCAGAGAGCCCTTCAGGGCTGTGATCATGTCCTGGGGAATGAACCCATGTGTTTACACACTGCCCATAGTCACCACGTGCATTTTCCATGGCATGTACCAAATTTAATCAATCCAAGTCTTTAAATAAGCCTTTGGATAGCTTCTGTTTGAATATTCTACTTTATATTCTGTATTTTAATTTCTGTGGCATTTCATTTATTTCATTTTACTGTTCAGTGCTTTGTGGCATCCCTGTGAGAAGCGCTTTATAAATAAACTTTACCTACTTACTACTTACTTGACAAATATGATCAACTGAATCTTGGCGCTAGCCCTTAAAATTGCATATTGATTGATTTGATTTGAAGTATCCTGACCTTCTTTGCCCTCCTTTCGTATGAGAAAGCAATGTCTCGCCGCTGGGAGTAACTGCGTTTGGTGAGGATATCAATAATGGTCTTCTCATCCACACCTGAGAACGATGCAGGAGGTCAGATTTCCAGAATGGGAATGCAGAATCACAAGCTAACAAGAAAATACACACACTACAATAACAATACATACAGGTTTATTATAGATTTCCTTTTTGGGAACAATGTGTAGTTTAGACGTGTAATTTTTCATTTCCTGGTTATAGCCTGTGACTGGGTGTGTCATTAGGCATTAATGACACAATTTGTGTATTTTAATTTGTAAATTTGTTCTATAATAATTGCATAAAAAATGCATTCCCTAATTTGGAGAACTTTAGACAAACAGGTTAGCCGCATGCTATCTTGGAAACACAGAGGTCAGTATTTCTAGGAAACCTAGCAGAAATGAGGCAGCTTAGCTCTGTCATTATCATCATTACCACCTCTGGAACTGTGGTAGATAGACAGTAGAGTAAGTTTTGTGTTTGGGTTTGATGCTCAAGCAGTCGTGGATGCATTTACCGCCCCGCTTCTTACCCTTGGTCTGGATGGCAGTCTCTATTCTAGCAGCATCCTTTTCAGGATCGAAGTCGGGCACAGCTTCCACCGTGGGATATTTGGGGTCGTTATCCTGCCGTTTTAGAGAAGGGAGAGAGAAAAGCACACCATGGTCACATGGCACACGCTTGACATTTTGATGGTTCTGCTGCTTCATAATACGTTACTTTTGCTGTTTACTTGAAGAAATTGTAAAATTTCCATGTTTGTAACTGCTCAACCATAAGTCTGTAATAATCTTACTTGTCTTTGCAGTCTATATGCTGTTAGACAAGTATGTAACTTACCCCAAACACATCGAGAGTCAACTGTCCCAAGAACTCAGCTACGAGTGCCATTTTGAATTTCCTGTTAAAGACACAAAAATCACCCAACAAGCCTCCACAAGCAGTAGCTCCAAAGGGCTTTTGTTTATTTATTTGCATTAATAATTACAGAAATCTACCCAAACATGCTATTTAATTATTGAATCTGTTGAAATATAAGGTTATGCTTATCGTTTATAGATAATATTGCATTCCGAAACATTTCTGTGCATTCTAAATTTCACAAAAAAACTATATTGAAATAGCATGTATTTACACACACACAAACACACACACACACACACACATTTCTAGTCTAAGCCTCTTGAGATAAATCGTAACCTCTGCAGCGTCCTGTAAAAATATGACAACATGGGCGTTCACACCCTTTAAACATCAGCTGTCTTTATTAGTATATGCAGGGAAGGACCCTCAATTTCAAGTGCTCCTTGGCAATGTGTAATGTTTATTACCTAGCAACTGCAAGATAAAGACAGGCAGCCACAAAACACAGAAAACTCTCCCCCAAGTGTTACTGTAGCTGCTTAACATACCATTAGTTACTTAATACTGGTTATGGCTTTTGCCACAGACTGACAAAATTGTTTATAACATCTTCTGACCTTGTCCGCCCACTTAAAATTGTTTCCAAGCCTTCATTACTTAATAATGAATGGGGTGATAAAGCCACTATTTCATGTGTTTAGGAATGACTCAATTTCTGTGGTTATTTTTCCAACTGGCACTAATGCTCAGCTAATTCGGTAATGAAACATGGAAAATTCCACAGACTGACAAAGCATTGCGCAGTAAAAAGTTTTAGGGAAAGCTCTGCATGAAAAAGAATTATGTTTTTGTAGAGTTCAGAAGAGTTCTTTTAACACTTAAAATAGTTGTTTCACTATTTCTTTTTGATTGATGTTTGATGATTGATCAGTTTAACATATTTTTTCATAAGCACCTTATGATCAACAAAAGAACACGTAATTAATCACATGACTTTTCTGCGAAATTATGTAGGATGATCACAGGGAAAACATATGTTAAGCTGGAACTAGTGGACAATAGTATTGTGCTACAAATAAAATCATAACTGAAGTGAACTGCATTCTCTTAACAGAAACACCATTTTATACACATTCTTGTTACTCATAAATGCCTGACTGCGGGTAAAAAGAATAAACATATAACATGTTTATGAAATATTGCTGTCCCCACATCCTCCACTAATTCCATAAAAAATATTTTCAGATAAACACTACAAAAAGTTTTTGTGATAAATAGCCATATTCCATATTGTATGTGTTAACAGACAAAAGCTAATTCTGCTCTTTCTTTCTCACTGAGGCACTGTATGAGGGGTGAAAGCAGGAGAAGAGTGAGGAGACACAGAGCAGAGCTTACCTTAGTGATCTGGGCTGGTGAGGTTTCACACAGTGTCTGTAGCTATGTCGTGCCGCTGGGTGTGGTGTTTAAATACCGTATCACCCAGTGCGCTGAGCATCAGGCCCTGCCCCCAACACCCGCCTGCTCTCACTGCACTCTCTGATCCCCGCCTAAGCGGGACCTCTTCTCCTACACTGGTCATTGCTGAATTCATCAATCTTTATAAGAAATCCACGTTGATCAAAAAGAGCTGAAGCAGAGTGGAAGTCACTGAAATCAGGGGGGCTGTTTGCCCAAGCTTAAGAGATTAACTGGATTTTTATTGACGTTTCTAGAATGAAAGACAGCAAAGGTGACCGGTCTCTGATACATGAGACCTCTGTATGTACATAGCATGAAAGTGCCTCTTAATAATGATTAGAAATAACTGGTTCTTTAGCTGGATTTGCTAGCATTTTCTCTGTAATACTGTAATTTATTGTTTCATGGATGTCAAGATGTCTTTCCTCCTGCCTCTGTGATTTAGCTTTTCACCTAAAATTTTAATACAAAGAGATTTACATTAGTTGTGTACATAGATATTTTGCATAGCCATGCACCTTCTAACTGCTTATCCTGGTCAGGGTCTGGAGCCTATGCCAGACACAAGGGCACAAGGCTGGGGTATCCCCGGGGCATGATGCCAGTCTGTCACAGAGAACATACACAAAGGCGGGTCCCTGGAAGTGTGAAGAAAATTGCTATCCACAGAGCGACCAAACAACACAGTAGTGGTTCTCTAAGGGAGGCCTTTACTGAATCTGAGACTCAGGGTTTATGGATATCAGGGATATGAAACCTGCCAGTCTTTGACTTCTGAGTCCTGACCTCCATATCCACTACCAGCTGCTTTATGGGATTACGTGGATAATGCCTTTCACCTTGTGTGTTGTTTGTTGAAGAGCAGAGCCAAGAATAATGTCAAAGAAACATCTCCCTTCATTGCCTCAGCAGCACTGTTGAATAATCACTGTCACTGTGCAAGTGTGTGAAGAGCAGTGTTGACAAAGGGTTCAAGAGTAGTCAGTGTAAACGACACTCGATTAAACACAAGGATCACCTAAAGACCTCCAATTATCTTTTACAGTAGGAGGCATTTCTCATTTTTTGGGGGGTTTTGTTCATTTTTGATGGTGTTTCCTCTGTTAATTAATTCATAATGCATGTGTACTTTGGGCATAATTTTCTGAATGTGCTTTGAAGAGGAACAGCACGACCAGCTCATTTGAGGGTAGCTGGTCCTTGTAGGAATTTATAGGTTGAAACCCTGAGGTCAGATGGAAAGGTATAATAAAAAGAATCAAAACAATGTAATTTAACTCACTATATTATGTACACATTGAAACTTTGGCGATTTTGTAGTGAGTGTATAACTTATATTATAATTAATCATAAATGTATTTCCAGAAGAAACAGACTTAAAATAAAGAGTTTTGTGTTTCATTCTAATCAATGAATTACTGTTAGCTAGCTAATTTAGGTGGATCACTAGAGCTTAAAAAGGCTTAACATTAAGTTTGCGTAGAACATGACTCATCTAATTCCTCACCTATTTCTCTTGAAAGATTGCAGTGCTGATATCCTCTCCTACAGTACGTCTGTATCGCCAAACCCTTTCCTGTCCTTGAGAACAGGGTATGAGAAAAATGATCATAAAGATCCCAAAGGCATTTTTGACACTCAAAACAGAGATTTAGGCCTATTGGTCTAAAGCAATGAACTGGGCTGTTTGCCTACTGTACTTGAATAAAACAGCAAAGCATCAAACAAGATCAACAGCAGGCCACATAATATGATGAACGTAGCAGGGGTGGCACAGTGTTTAGCATTATTGTCTCAGACTTCTGGGACCAGGGTTTGAGTCTGCCACGGCTCCATGTGTGGAGTTTGAATGGTGTGTGGGGCCTGCGATGGGTTGGTGCCCCATCCTGGGTTATTCCCTGCCTTGTACCCATAGGCTCCAGACTCCCTGTGACCCTGAATAGGACAAGTGGTTTTACAAAAAATGGAAGGATGGATGAAAGTAGCAGCATTTGGGACTGCTAATGGGAATGGAGTGACTGCGGATCAGGAAGGAGGTCTTTGTCACCTTCCTGGAGGTGATGTGACATCATTATTCCACTTCATAATGCAGAGTGTCTGATACAATGTATAATACAGGGCAGTACAGAGTAGGCTATACAAACCAAAGAATGGGCTACAGGCTGGTAAATCAGATAATTCTAAAAAATAATGGATTTTGTATATGATATCCAGATATCTGATGGCAACCATGTAGTTGTATTACAATAATTTGGTTTCTCCAATGTGTATAACATTTGTAGTCATGGTAACCCAGTTTGAGTCAAACATTGCCCAATCCTGATTCCAGTTTTTCTCACAGTGACTAACAGAGTGACGCTTAAACTTTATCACAGCTAACTGCTGCTTAACAAAGTCTGGCCCTACCCATATCTCAACTTTGACCTTTCTTTCATCACAGGAGCATACAATCACTCAGTTGGCAACAATTAACATCCTTGGTTACTATGCTTATAATCTGGTCTATCAGTCTTAGATAACTTGAAGTAAGTTTACCTCCACAGCTTACAAAAACTGATCATAATGTCATCTCCAAGTCTTGTTGCTAAAAGCAATTTCACAATCACCGAAGCAGAAGACTTAGCTCTTAGGGCCAGCAGCTCCATCTCGAATATTTTATGTTGTCCTGTTTTTGAGAAACTCATATGACATAACCATATGTTTGAATTTAATAAAATGGAAAAAATAAATGTAATTTTTTAATGTAATGTATAGGAATGATGGAATAACAATGCAAAGGAGGGCAATGAAAGCTAAAGGAGGTGCAGTGGGCAGTGAGTTTATATATTTATATGTATATATATAAAGGTCTGTTTGTTTATTTTTAAATGTTTTTTTTGGGGGGGGGGCAATTTAAGCCATATTAAATATTGGGGGGGGCATGTCTCCCCCTTTCCTCTCAGCTCTTCTGCCCCTGGGCAGCCTGAACCTTCATAACTTCCACAGAATTGGTATTTCTCATATGGGTGCGGCAGCAGGAACACGGCAAACTTCCCGACAGGCTGATCTGAGGATCTGGGACTTGTACACATCCAGGACGACTCAGGTCGTATTTGTTTGGTGCTGCATGTGAAACGATAATGTAGGTCATCAAGATGAAACACTGAAACTGCCCAGATACACTTGCAAGGGAACGGTGGTATTTTCTTAGGAAATTAAATCCTCTTGAAAGTGTTGAAATAGCATAAATCCTTGCAGCACCTGAATGTCATAAATATAACTGCTGAGCTAGAGCGATTAGTTTGGTTCCTGGTACAACAAACTACAAATAATTATGTTGAGCCAGCCAATAAATGAGGGGTAGCCAGTCTTATTCATATCATAGCTGCTTTTTTCGGAAAATAAACGGGGCAGTAACAGACCTTATTCACCCTCTTCTCTGGATTTTTGTTATTTTATTTTGGTATTTGTAAAATCTGGTGATTAAATAAATAACTGAAGCAACAGTTGAATAAAGTTCTGCAATCTCTAAAAATTGGAAGTGTTTCCAGTTTTCACCACTGGTGTATGACTACTCTTCTAAATTACTTACTTTAAGATTTTAAAAGAGGAATACAAATTTAAAATAAATAAAATGCTTTAAGTATGCCACACCATCACAGAAAAGCATCTTGTATTACCACCCTACAAGCCTTTACTGCTTTTATTCATTAACTTCTGCTCATTTGTTCTGATTAAGTTACCTGTACACAATGATCACAATGGTCTATAGCATTTCTTACAGACCATGAAGCAATCATTGTAACACCAAGCCCATTGTTTTCTTAATTTCACTATCTGAAACTAAACTGATATAACACTGATAAAAGGTTCACATCATTCTACAACACGGGTGTCAGACTGCAGTCCTGGGGGGCCAGAGCCCTGCACATTATTGGGTTTCCCCTCATTTAACACACCTGATTCAACTCCTTCTGCTAATTACCACACAGCTCTTGAGCTGAATCATTTCTGGTGGAACGGGGAAAGAACTAAGTTACACATGGCTCCGGCCCCCCAGGACTGCAGCTTGACACCCCTGTTCTACAACTTGTTCTGTCTGCCTTTGAGCTGGTCATCTAAACAACACTTCACTGAGTGCAGGTACGTCTTTGTTAATGATCTCAGCACATCTTCATTCCTGGTCGTGCCTCCCAAACTGCAGTGGCGCCTCCCTGTGGCTCACCTGCCCATCTTTCCTGCAGGCTTGACCTACAGTTACCCCATTTCACTATTTGCAATCTCCCATTAAGATAATGGGAGAAGGTCAGCCAGAGCTCACATGTGATACCAAACTAAGCGAACAGGAGTTGGTCAATGGTGTCATATGCCCATGAAGAATCAATAAACGGGGTATGACCAACTTGTTTTGCTTTGGTGTTGATGGCTAACTATGAACAACATTTAGATTTTGTGGCCATGTTATTAAAAAAAGCCATGTTGAGGGGATTTAACAAGACCGAACCTCTTGAGAAACTGTTCTTCTGTTAGTTAGTCCTTCAAAGATTGTACAAACGCTCAAGCCTGAAATATGTCAAAGAACGGGCAGAACTACTTTGGAATCGTGCAGATCAGTGTTTCTCAAACCAGTCCTTGGGGGCCAGCAAACAGTCCACATTTTTGCTTTCTCCCAATTCCCTGAGAGTTGAGAGAGACCAAAAATGTGGACCGGTAGTGCAGATAATGGACTAAGGTCACTCAGTACAGGGACTACAGCCTTCCTGTCACTGAGTCTCCTTAAACGGGCCTTAATTTGTCTGACACTCAATTCAGTGGCAGGGTGTGGGGAAAGTTTTCCTTTAACTGTCTCAGTATTGGGGCTGGGACGATTGATACCCCCCCCCCATACTGATGCAATCTGCAGGCTGAGGGCTTTGCATTCCTTTTGCGTAGCTATGCTGCTGATCCTCCCTCTCTGCCCTTCTCATCACCTCTCGAATTTTTTACTGCCTTACACCATTGTCCAGAATCCCTGGACTTAAGCTGCTCTACATCATTGAAATAGCATTTG